TGAATTAGTGCTGGGTGACTGACAACATAAGACTTTCTGACAAAACAAACAACCAAAAACACTTACCCCAACACAACCATGTCCCATCTCCAGAAAGGCACTGTGGTTGCCTGCATGATCTACAGGGTCTTGACAGTAGATGAACTCCTCTGGTCTTTAACACACATGTATAATGAAACACAAAGAGTGAGGGATGTAAGCTATTGTGCAACTGCTGTGAAAATGACTGATGACCAAAAACAGGAAGCTGTAGACTGCATTACGCCAAACTCCATTCATAGAATCTGACTATCTGTAATTATTAACAAAATGTATACAGGTAGAGCATGACTTCACATGACATTTTAATTACTATGACTTTACAGTAAAAATACAAGATGGTTTCAGTGCGGATCCCTGTTTTTATTTAGTGAAAAGACTGGTTCACAATAGCTCGTAACTGTTCAATAGAGAGTGATAGACGTTATATTCTGGATGTAGTATTGTGAAAGCTGACATTTTGGAAACTGGATCATGGATGTACAAAGGAACATGACTTGATAGATTGCTGAGAGCAGTTTGCTTTGACAGTCTCACATCAGCAGCTGCTCGTAGTTAGCATTAGCTACCGCTAGCATGCTAGCGAGACGACTGTAGCGTTACATGTTACTTACAGATAGCTGCAGAGGACGACCGGTGACGGGGGTCTGTACTCATATTGCTCTGTATAATTCGTACTTTCCACCGGTATTTCATTTTTCACCATTTCTGGCGGCTGGTCGCTGTACGGCAGTGTAGTAGCTCCCTGAACACCATTAGTAGTAGGAGTCTCGACTGTCGATGAGTTTTGGGAGTGAATTCCTTCCAGACATTGTAACAGAATCACCGTCAGTAGCAGCAGGAACTGTCCGCACAGCAGAATATAGCTGACTGAAATCATTGTCACCCTCAAAATACTACGTTAATTCTGATAGACTATCCATTCGTGGTTAACAGCGTCATTTAGCTAGTTACCGTTACCAGCAAAGGTTTGTTTGCGTCGCGTGGGTATGACGCCATCAAAAGCCGCGTGGATAGTGTTTGTTGTTTTTTCCCTTCACTTTCTTTTTTGTGCACAAATTCATTTACAAAAATACAAACAGATAAATAGACAACAAATTAAACAGTATGAGAGGACAAAAAGTAAAAAAGCAAACTACTACTACTAACAACAGCAATAATAATAATAATAATAATACATAGGCTATACATATACACAGGCTATAGCCTGCATATACACATACATTTAACAAAACCAGAGTTTTTGTTATATGCATTCTTGTTGAAATTCATTAATAAAGTGTGGAAATGTCAGTTTGGTTTCTGACCATTTGTGGGGTTTTTTTAAATAGGCCTATGGAATTTTCCAAAAATAATAAAGAGTTGCATAATATACAACATGTTTTTTCCCAATCTCATCTTGACTGAAATATATCATTACATTAGACTTATTAATTTTAACATTTATCTTAAGTTTTCTTTTTTTTTTCTTAGAAATTTGGCAACTCCAATCCAAAACATTCTGCAGTATATATAGGGAAAAGAACAACTTAGAAATACTCTCTTTTTCCAGTCCACAGAAATCACACTTATAATCAATATTCAGCTTGAGTCTTAATAACGAAATTTTGTTTACTGTGAATGATTAAGTAAATAGAAGATGAACTGATCATGAGGGTATGAAGCATGAAGGTAAAGATGAAACATTTCTTCAATATTTTAAGCAAGACTACGTTTTAATTTTAATCTTTTACAGTTTCAAAATAACAAAAAAGGAAAAGGGCCTGAAGCAAAGGTTTGGGCACCCTGCATGGTCAGCTCAAAGGACAAGGAAGAAAGTGAGGCTCATTTTGGCAGATTGCTCCCATCCTCTCTTTAGCCATTTTGAGCTCTTGAGGTCTGGGAGGTGCTATACAGTCCCTCTGTCAACTAAAAATGTATTTTAAAATGTACATTAATCTTTCAGTTTATCATAATTTACCAAGGCATAACAGTCAGAATGTGACTGACACATTCTCTAAATATATTCTCTAAAGGTCTTACTTTTCATAGACCTGATAGTTGTGGAGCTATTCTTGATTTATTTTGGGTATATCTATCTAAATGAACCACAAATTCTAGCATTCTATAGTTTAACAGGTTAAGTCACTGTTGTCCTTCATATTTATTCGGTTTTAAATGTTTCTTACATAGATTTTTTTTTTTTTTTTTTGCTTCTGGGATGTAATGGCAGCTTCAGCTGTTGAAGTGATGCAAATAAGCTTTTTATTTCAAATGTAACTAAAATTGGAAATCAACTCTTTGGAGACATATTTGTAAAGAAAACATGATAAACAATGTTGTCTTTCAAATTTATCCGGTTTTCATGTTTTAGAAATTTGTCTTTAACAGCTTTTGGGAAAAAATGATAACTTAAGACCACTTTAGTCAAAGAAAATGTTATTTCCATTTGCAGTATTACATTTGGTGGTATGGCTCTGTTCTGGGGCCTCTCTGCTTTCCTAGGCCTCATAAAGCCTAAGCTGGAGAGAGCGCACCGCTCTGCCCTTCCATGCACCTACATGGAAAGCCTTAGGCATTAGAGCAACAGCAAAGAGCCCCTGGGAACAGAACAGAGCAGCATCAATGACTAACAGAAATGAATTTGATAAATAATTTATTCATTCATTCATTTTCCATAACCCCTGATTGTGTTAGGGGTCGCGGGGGGTACTGGAGCCTGTCCCAGCTGGCCCTGGGGGCGAGAGGCGGGCTACACCCTTGACAGGCTGCCAGACTATCGCAGGGCTGACATATAGAGACAGGCTCACATTCACACCTTCAGGGCAATTTAGGGTCACCAATTAGCCTAACCTGCATGTGTTTGGGTTGTGGGAGGAAGCCAGAGTACCCTGAGAAAACCCACATGGGGAAAACATGCAAACTCCACACAGAAGTAAATAAATAATTCAGACACAGCATGAACAGGAGGAGCTGGGGTGAAGGCAGGTTGCAAAGTGGCTTGCAGAGGAAGCAGCAACAGTAGGCAGGCTAAAGTAGTTTAAATTGGGCGCCTTGAATGAGATTTGCCAATTGGTCATATAGAAAGGAATCATGTGATCTATCAGCTGACTCTCTTCCATCAATCAGCTGATCCATCAGTTGACTGGGCTGCCTGAGTTCAACTGGTGGAGTTGGGCTTGACATTGTGTCCTGCCTGAACTAACTCAACCAAGGAAACCAGAGGAAAAAAATGAATCTCGTAGAGCATAAATCCATTTTTGTATCTAACATTCTCCAACAGTTTTCACCATGCTGAAACCATAACACAACAAATGTTAATAATGATTTTTTTTCACCTCCTGCACCCAGGAAGCACCCTGATCAGATCCCTGAACCAGCTCAACTGAAACCTTTCGATGCAAAGGAGCAGCAGCTCTATTCTGAACTCCATACTTAAAAATGATAAAAATAATAAATCATTACTTTTTGAAGCAGTGAGAAATCATGCAGGGCTGGAACCCCAGAAGCCCCCTAAAACCTAATCAAACAATCCTTATTACTGTGATGATAGTTTATTTGCCCTTTTCCTATTTATACGTAAGCACAGGTGTAAATGAAGACAAGTGGTTGTATTTTGTTTAGGTCAGGCACTTCCAGGCTGGTAAGCCTGTTTTGCATGCTAGCAAGCCAAATATCTGCTGGGTGCCCTGTGTGAGTAATAAAAAGAAATTGCAAAGCATCAGCTTTAATGTGCTACCAATCAAGAGTTTAATGATTAGGCCATTCCTAGTGTTGTTAAGCCTAATTATCATAAATTTAAATGGGACATTATGGAAAAGAAGGTACATTGTAAACCTCAATCCACTCATGACAGAAAATATCTAAGTAACGTCTACACAAATGCCCCCAATTGTCAAAATGACATACAAGCTTTATATTCACTTGGCACAAAAAGTCATCCCTTGTGAGCTTGACATATTTTTTTTATTTATGTTAAGTCAATCGTTTTTGAGTTTTGAGTTAATTTGACTAAAAATTATCAAGCTGATTTTGCCAAATAAGTTTAAAACAACACTATTGTGCAGTTAACATATTGTGGCATGTTGGGGCTAAATGGGGAGTTTCCCAGCATGTGGAGAGACAATGTGTTTTAGGCCATAAACTGCAGAAAACTGTGTTTAAATGTGTTCTTAATCACTCACGTTACCCATTATGCAGTGTTCAATGTTAATGTATTTCACAGTGGTTCTAATGGGTTACACAATGTTGTGGTAATTTTTGCACCATGAGTTAAGTTGAATACACACTTAAGACCAAAACTCACTGCCAGTTATAGTGAACATCAAAAATCTGCTCCTAATACTTTAAGTGTACAACTCCACACCAGTGGTGGCAAGACGCATTTTGGCACTTGTGGACAGGTTGCCTCGCAGCACCTCATGCCACTGTCCTATGTAAATGTAAATGTAAGTGTAGTAGGAGAGGCCAGAGCCTTATTTTCCAGTTTTCAGTATTCATATGTGACTTTAAAAGAAAAAAGGAAATCTTAACTGCATCTTTTCAAAGCCAGTCTAGCAGTGAGGGGTCAGGAGTGCACCAGGTGAGAATCATTTAAAAAATAAGCTCAGGTGCGAGAGGAAGGATAAAACGGAAGTACAATAAAATAAAAGCATACACCTCATGCTGCTAAAGCCTTCATTCATGTTTGCATACAAAGTAAGCGTGTCGCCTATATATGCTTGATTAGTGCTTATCATATTTCGCCTCTTTGCAATTTTTGAATTTTACATCACTAAAGGAGACATAGTACAACTTTTATTGAGAAACTCTTGACCGGAAGTCACTCTGTAAAGTCTTGCTCGCTTGACTCGCGACAAAAAGAGTCAGTTCATCACCTGGTGATGCGAGAGAAAGAGTCGAGTCGTCCATAACCAACAATGAAACGTTTAGTAGCAAAGAATATTTTAAGGAGACAATTTTAACGTCCGTCCGCTGTCAGACGTCACAGAGACGGAGCAGTAATGTTGTCACTCGGCAAAGTGCAGTTTTTCTTAGTTTATTTTGACATGACATTACTCGGATATGCTGTGGACGTGATGCATTTACATGGAGACACATGGAGTTTCCAGCGCACAGGTAAGATACGCCTTCATAAAAAATAATGATATATTAATATTATTATATAGTTAATTAAGACTGAAGGGTATTCAAATACAGTACAGTAGTACCGAAGGGAAGAGCTTTATAAAGTTTATGGTGGTCACTGACGTTAGCTTACTATTTACTAAGCTCCCCTCAGATTTATCACAGTAAAATTATTTGTTTGTTCAGGAAAAATAGATGGAATGTTGGCCAAAATGAGCTAACAAGTCACATTATAACTTTATTTATGATGATAGCCAAATTATTTCCATTTTTATCTGAGCTCTTTCAATTTATTGATTCTTGCAAATCAACTGAAATCTTTTTTTTTTTGTTCTTGTCCAAAACACCTTTTATATCAAAGAGGTGTAGGGTTGCAGCGATATACTGGTTTTTTAGCTATATCGTGATGTGAACGTCGATGGTTATCATATCGTGTACATTTGCTTATCTATGGTATTGAAAACAAAATGCAACCTCCCATTCATTTCAATTATTTTGAGACTATTTACACACACTTCCATTAACAAAATGGTTTCAAGTTTCAGTAATAGTAATTAAACGTTTGCTCAACCAAAAAAACCTTTTCATTTTCATCCCTTTAAGAGTCCCTCTGACTGGCAACAATATGAATTTTGTGATACCACAATACCGTGAAACCGCAATATTTTGTGAGACGGTAACCATACCATGAAAATCTCATACCTTTGCAAACCTAAAGAGGTGTACAACAATTTCCTCACAAGAAAAAACAACATCATGCCAGAGGTTTCATATCCTGTCATTTCAGTGTTCAATGAAAGTGCATGTCCTTTAAAATATTAAAAGTCTTTGTAGATTCCTTGTTCCTCACATCTTCAAGTAAGATGCCACACTGCTTGAGTGAAATGATAAATTTAAAGGAGGGTTTGGAGTCAGACTATTTCAATTTATGGATATGGAATTTACCAAGAATTATCAGAAGCTGAATTAACATAGCTTTGTGGTCCATCCTATAGAACACAAAACATTACATCAAATACATTAATCTGGATATTATTGCCCATTTTTCTGTTTATAAAGTATTGCAGATCTGTCCAAAATAAACTTGGCTTTTTATCAATAAGAAGTGGATTTTGCAGATGTGAGATGGCCCGGAATTGTGACACTGAGTTGTAGTACCAGGTTCTTCCACTGTGGGCAGCTGTTGCAGTACTAAACCTCCATCTGCTCGTGTTGTAACTTACCATGAAAGTTTGTGTGATGTGTGTTGAGACTAAAGTTGGTAAAGCTGCAGCTCTGTGTCACTGGAGAAGTTTTCTCCAAAACATAATTTTATAGTACACAATTTGTCTTTCTGCTTCTTCTTGTCTCTGAATAAGCTGCATACTGTGACTGCTCCTCTCACTTTGCACATGCCCCCCTGTCATCATCTTGGTCCTTAGGTGACATCAAGAGCACACATTCCTGTCAATATGTGCATATAAAGAATGTCCTCTGTGAGCTGGGCAGTCTTTTGAAAGCACATGTAGTTATGTTGAATCAACCAACAACACACTGGGGGTGGGCGATATGGCCCTAAGATAGTATGACAAATTAATAAAGAAAATGTCTTATTAATTTAAGAACATCGAATTGCAACAAAATAAGTGATATAGTCTTACATATAAACTTAACAGTTTGCCTTCAAATATTCAGTAAATAAAGCAAATAGCCTAGTCATTTTGTAAACAACAGTAAGTCAGAGTGAGATTCAGATTCTGTTTACAATATTAATAGTACAACAAAATAAAATCTACCACAAATTACACATTTAAACAATTCCCAAATACCCAAAAAAGTACCCTGGCATCTACATATATAAATCAACAGGTGATAACCTTCTCATTTAGCAAAAAATGATTGAGTTGTTTCTTTTTCCACCCGGACCTTTATGCTCTGCCATTTCTCCTCAAATCATCACGCTGTAGCCTGTGACAGGCTGTTATGATACCATAATTACTGCACATTCAAATATGTGTTATTTTTTTTGTTGAGCCGCGAGCGTCACCTAGGTTTACATAACCAAAGGTTTATTACAATATCACCTGATGACACCAAACCCCATGTGTGCATGACTAGAGAGGAGAGGAGAGGGAGAGCTGCTGTGCTGCTGCCAGAGGAGCTGCTGAATGCTTCCCTCTGAGTAGTAACAGAGTCTGAGAAGTCCGAGGCTGTTCATAAAACATTCAGGATGCTGAGGCCTGATGACCGCACAGTTTATTCCGCACTACTGAAGCTACTCCTCTTTTTGGAACCACCGCAGAGTCACTAATAATTTCGCTCTCAGCCATGCTTGTTGTTGCCATGGGTAACAGTATGACTCAATATGCCAACAAGTCAAAATATTGGGAGTATCACAATATGAATTTTACATATCATATTTAAAATTATACCGGTATTATAGTCAACAGGATGATATGGCACACCCCTACAGCACACCCACTGTACGTCCACAGAGCACAGAGGCAATTTTATTAGACCTTGTCTCAGGACTGTGTGGACATGTATAGGCTGTGCTTAATTAACAGGTTGGAACAGGTTGGACAGCATGGAATTATTTTTAATTTTACATTATTAGCACTGTATATGTAAATCTTTACCACTGGTGAGTAAATAGTTTGACAGACTTTTTGTTGGCAACAAGCTGATCTCACAAATTGGCTACTAATAATAAATTCAGGTGGCAGTTACCCTGAAAGGAAATTTACGACACATATCAAGTAGTCTGTTTTATTGTATGTGTCTACCTGTTGATTGAGTATTTTCTTCAGGCTTGACAATGGATGTATTAAAAGTATACATTTCCAATTTTCAACCAGCTTTGTATCATAACAATGTGGGTATGTGTAAATGAACTATGTCACACTTCTCTCCATCTTGCAAACACCTAGATCTCCCTGCTCATTTTCACTGGCTCTTGAGTTGTTGCTACAGATTGTCCTGTGGTGGTCTCCCCCACTCTCAAACTCAGACCAAACTCAGATGAAACTGTAAAACTAGGCAGTGCTCATCAAATCTGAACCAAGATTCTGCTACTGTATTGTCTAATCCTCACCTAAAATGTCTTCAGCAACATATTTTATGGGCAGCAAGGTGGAGCAGTGGTTAGCATTGTCGCCTCACGGCAAGAGGGTTTCTGGTTTGAAGCCGGGGTGGGGGAGCCCCTCTGCGGAGCCAGCATGTTCCCCCCTATTAGTGTGGGCTTGGGTTAGGTTGATTGGTGACTCTACATTGGCTGTAAGTGTGAATGTGTGTGTGAATGGTTGACTGTCTCTGTGTGTCAGCCCTGTGATAGTCTGGCGACCTGTCCAGGGTGTAACCTGCCTCTCACCCAGCGTCAGCTGGGGTAGGGTCCAACCAGAGTCCTGCACAGGTCCATTTTTGAAAACCTGCACAGGCCCATACCCGTAAAGCTCAGTACTGGAAGTTACCTGTCATTATGTTCAAGTCAAAACCGCGCCCGCCTGCACCCTTGGCCTTCAAAATAAAAGACAATGTGGCTTGATAATAGTGATTAAATATCAAAATGTTACACATATACTGCACATATTTTTCATATGTTTTATTCTGAAAAATAAAAAATAAGTTTAAATATTTTTGTTCTCACCTGCTGTCTGCCTGTGTGTAGTTCATTTTTACCAATGCCAGTACCCGTGAATTACTGGTTCAGGATCAGGCTCCTAACAGGATAAGTGGATATGGAAAATGAATGAATTAATGAACCTATTTTAGTGTACTGTTTAGCTGTATTATGACAGTTTATGAACAGTGGGAACCATTATGTTTGCTATACTGTGTAAATGGAGACTGGAAATACTGAGATCAAATGGTAGAACTTAGATCAAATACAAACCCAGATTCTGTTACTGTATTACCTATTTCACACCTAGTGTGTGATGTGAGGAAACCAAGTCGCATTACCTCACCCATCAGCAAAAGTGTTTATTGGTCCAGTGAGTCGCAGTGCATTCTGGTATTCTTTCCAGCAGTGAATTATTTCTTAAAGTGGAAGGAAGCCCAGGCTGCACTGGTACATGCAAGAACACCCAAGAGCCACGGCTCTGCTCTTAGTAGGGGCCACACTGTCAGCCTCTGTGGTGGCCAGCTCTCAGGGAGCAAAACCTCAAAATATGTGCGAACGACAAACTGTTGCCACTTCTTTGCTTTATTTGACACTGAGCCATGTCAGCTTAAAAGTTTCTATTTATGAGGGTAGAAACAGAACGTGGCGAGGCATTTAGGAGCTGCTGACACTTCCACTTTCAGCCAGCTGTGGTCCGATTCATTGTGCTGTTGGTCCAAATGCAGTTTACTGTTGCTTTCATCTTTGTATTTCTTCTGGCTCATAATAATCTATAGCTATCTTTAAGTGCTGTGTTGCTAATTACTTTTAGTTACAAGTATGACAGATGTCAGATGTGGTTGGGTCCAGCGTTGATCCTTCCCGGTCACAATTCTGTTTTTTAAGCTCCGCCCTCTGTACCACCATCTCGTTCTGTTCTTGCGAGAGACTTTGCGCTTCCTGTAGAAGGTGAATGAGAGCTGGCAGCTCTCCCAGCTCATGTTAATAGAACTGGTGTTTTAATCCTGTGGTTCTTTGATTGGTAACAGTATCTGTGATGACAAAGTCATATTATACTGTAAGTCTTATTCAGCAGCCTAAGGTCCTAAACTGTAGCCAAAATATATAGTAACAATAATGAATATTGTTTTTCTAAAGCTTCATAACTTTTGTTCCTGGTTTTTATTAGTTAGTGTACGGTCTAGTAGTATGTCTGGCACTATGGCCATCCTGTATACAGTTGAATATGAGTACTGTATTCCTCTGAAGCTTATTAAAGATGAAGCAGTGGTATCACTCTTGAGGAAATTCCTACTTCGGATGTGTGACAGACAGCGTGGCGTTATCAGCTCTGTTGTATCTGATGTAATGTTTGAGCAGCACACTGGGCAGAAAGTTGATCTGTGAGCTC